ATACTTTTGCTTTAGCAGCATTTACATATTTTATTTTTCAAGGTACAGACACCTGCAACTAATTTCATGTAGACAGACTCAAAAAGATGTCTAGAAGACATGAGGAAATAGATACAATTTCAGGAAGTTAAGCTTATGTGCAGTGGCAAATGCCTGCCTCCACCCAAGCAATCTCCTCTGAGAAAATGTTTGTGGGCAACAAAGGAACGAGGAAGCAAAGTCTTTTATGCTTCCCACTCTGCAGAGTGGTAATGGCTACTCCAAAGCAGGAGAAACTTCACCCGGTCACCTGAACTGTGATGTGCCCCGTTGTACAACTGAAAAGCTTTTAAAATACTGGAACATTCCCACTTAAACAAATTGATCTGGCTGTCATCTTACCAAATTAACAATGTGTTTTTGCACTGGGAGTCCACAGGATTTTATTTTGCTTTGCTCCTACACCATCAGGAGCAGTGGTCACAGCATGGCTTACAGCAGTAGCTGCTGTCAGCACACAAGTCTGAAACATGCACACTGTGAGGAGTACCCATAAAACGGGCCTTGAACTTTCACCTGTCAGAAGCAGAGACTTGCAAACTCAGCTGAACACAACAGATATGATCACAATAGCCTTCATCATTTTGTCCTCTACTAATAAAAACCCCCTAAAAAATTGCAGCAGCTGCTTTGGCTGTAACCAGTGACTTCACTATTTTTAGCCTGCATAAGCATGATTCCTGAAAACTGAAATGCAGAGACTGATGGGGCACATTTGCTGTGATGCTCCACGGCACCAAAAGAACAATGTTTGAAGTTTTCTGACTACTGCCTAATAAGAAATAATTCCATTTTGTTCTCCAGAGCCCTGCTCTTTGATATCCTGATTTTCATAGCCCAGGTTTTGTCACAATACTGCAGTAACATTTCAATGCAGGCATGGAGACTGTTTAAAAAAATAATAGCAAACTATTTCTGTTTGTCAGTAGTCCTTTCTGTTTCAAGCAGAATGGGTGCCCTCTGCAGGTAACTTACTTTCTACTGAGATTTTTGGATGTGTGCACTCTTTTAGTTCTGCTTGTCAAGGTCTTGAGGACTGATCAGCACTGCTTTGTTTTCAAGTGGATATTGCACTGCTCACTGCATACGTGGGCAAGCAACCAGCACATGGGTGTGCCAAACAGTTAGTTTGCTTCTGAGTATGATTTTTTTTTCTCTGAAGAGTGTGTGTGGCCAAGGAAGGGAGGAAGAGGAGGAGTTGTAAACCTTTTCTAAGCAATTTGACAGTGGTTGTTTTTTTTTTTGTTTGTTTGTTTATTTTCAATGGCAAAAGATAAGATAACTATAATATTATGCCGTGTAGAAATCTGCCTCTTGAATACAGGGATAGAATGAACAGGCAAAAGGGGTGCAGTGTAAACACTACTGAAAATCACAGAATGACAGGGCTTGGCTGGGACCTCAAGAGACTGAGTCCAACCCCCTGCTAAAGCAGGTTGCCTACAATAGGTTGCACAGGGAGGTGCCCAGATGGGTCTTGAATATCTGCATAGAAGGAAGGTATTCTGCTCATCTTAAAGACATCGGTGTATATTCTCCCTTAATCTTTCTCTTCAGTCATGCCTACACACATATTTTTCAAGTCCTTTCAGTGGACTGCATGAAGAGAGAACAGTATGCCTGAGTCAGCAGTGCTATGAGGTTTCAGCTCCCAGCTCTATAACATGCAGTTCTGCACAGTGACACTGATAGTGTGGGAGAGGAGATAAATGGAGATGGTGGTGATGACTAGGCTGCACCTGACACCATGTTGGCTCGAAGTCAAGCCTAGCAGCTGGGCAGCAGCTAACAACATGGCAAGACTGGAGAGCAAAAGAGGAGGTGGGGACCAGCCAAGACTTTCAGCTGTCTGTCACTTCTGGAGAGTGACACCTGTAAACATGGTGGCAGATGCTAAATATAAAGGTGTGAGGAAATAACTGCAAATTTAATCTGAATGTGTATGTTCTTCTCTCTCCTCTCTCCCATCACTGCAGTGACCATCTCTTGGTTGAGCACAACGCTTCATCTCATCCCAAAATGCTGTTCTGGCACAGTCAGCCTGAACATTATCACCATCACCAGTATCCCACCACTAACAGCAGCTACCTGCGGTAAGAAAATAATGACTGTGGGTAACTTTAAATAACAGTAGTTATAACATGATAGCACCCAATAATGTAGTTTGTGCAGCATTTGCTAATTCACAAGCTCAAGCCTTCATGTAGAGTTGGTGATTGTAGACCCACTGATAAACATTTGTGCAGTAGAGTCACCGTAGTGGAGATTTACTTTACTACAGCTTCATGATCTTCACAACTGTGCCACCCTACATGTGCTTGCAACAGCACTGGAACATCTAAATGCTTTATATGATATCCACAGATGTCTTAACTTTGGCTCTTTCTCTCTGAAATTCCATTAGCACTCCAAAGGTAACACTCTTGTTTATGTGAAGCCATACAGACTTAGAAGCATCTCCGTGCTTCACATGTAGTTTCAAAAATGCATTTTACCTATTGAAGTTCAGTTGATATGCACACTTGGGAATACAAGCCCCTTGCAGCATCAGGGAGGACACAGTGGTTAAACACTCTGCACTGAAATCTGATGCAATATATATCTAATTGCATCAGTGTATCCCTATGAACTTACCTTTTCATGACTGAAGTATTGTTTGAGTACAAATAAGTGTTATTTGTGTACTAAAATATTATTTGTGTACAAACAATTGTGTACAGCTTTATTTGTATTCGAATGCTTCTTAGAAACGATTGTGTTTTAACAAGAGCAAAGTTCATAGATTCCAGGTAATCTTGAGTTTGACTTTCAAATTATAACACGGCTCGCTCTCTATGTTAAACTTCAGCTTATTACTTTTTCATTTAATACCGTGTGTATAAACACGACAGTGTTTAATCTATTTTTTTACAGGCACCCCTTGTTGGTAATCCTGCTATTGTATCACAGTATCACACCTGTTCTTGTAGAATTGTGAGGGAGCATGTTCTTACTGAAGCATGCCGAGTTGCAGGTTTGAAAAATGCAAAGAAATGAAGTGATTTTTATGTTCTGATAACTCCAAGTGTTAAACTAATGAAATTTATAGTGGAGTTTTCATTCCATTACAACACAAAGGTCAGGGTGATGTGAAATACAGATTGGCTGACACAGATATATTGCAAACACAGTGCTGTTTCTACTGACTCAAGCAATAAGTCAGAAACGAATAGGTGCTGGAATTTCCTCATGCAGTCCTGCTTGCAAGCGACATGCATAGCTCTGCAAGAGGAACCATATAGCAAGTAACAGTGAAGACATCCACTGCCACCTCTGGTTTCAATCCATTCTTCAGTGCTGTTAAGCCCAGGGGTGGTGTTTACTTGAGCTCAGGACCACATTCTCTCTGGGATCTTTTTCACTGTGTCCTTATCTGTCTTTGTTTCTCCCATCATATTTGCTTCTGGCGTTCCCACACTATTTCAAAATCTGCCACCCAAGCTCCTCTGAATTTACTTTTCCACACATGTTTGAGCACGTGCATTTAGGTTTTGGTGGCAGCACCCACCTGTGTTTTGATATTGAAATACCACATATGTGGGGTTTTTCCATAAATTAAGATCTGTACATAGAAGTTAATGAGGTAGGCCCTTGAGGCTGATGACCTTAAGCAAAAGGGATACAGACCAGTTCAGATAGCAGGCTTCAGCCTGGTCATAATCACAAAGATGTCTGGTTCTGTCAGATCCTTTACCACGCGTCAGTCCCACATCTGTATGTCAGTAAGGCATATATAGAAACAGCAGCTGACTTCGGGGAAGGATGTTAGCACTAAGTGGGGAGCAGATGGAGAAAGGAATGTCTCAGGATCTTTTCTTCCCTCCTCTGCCTTCTCCCACATGCCACTACAGCTGTACTTAAAAAGCTCCTATGCAGATCTAAATCAGCCTCCTCTGTGTGCACTTGACCTGTGTTGTATCTCAAGCTTACAATTACAACTGGTGAGTCTGGGCTCAGGGTACAACCTCTGGTGGAGCCTGTCTTGGGAACACAGTTAGAAGAAAGAATTGCTTGAGGAAACCCACTGGTGTTAAACAAGAGACTGCTTTTGAAGCCCTGAGACCTCCTAAGAAGGTGACAGGAATGTGCAGAAATGGAATGGTAGAGGCACAGGAAAAAAAATATCATCTATGACAGGTTAGGGTTGTGGGTTTTACCTGCTCCGAGTATTAAAGAAGCAATTTGAGATCTCAAAATGTTTAAGTCCTGTTTTACACTATTTTACCAGGCAGGTGAAAAGTTTAGAATGATTTTTATGTTGACAAGTTGGGGGGAGGAAAAAAAACCACATCATTTTATAAAGTTTACATAATCTTCTGTCCCATAAGCTCTGCTCTCAGTCTTATTGAAGAGCAAATATTTATAATTTGGGCATCAATTCTGCAATCTCATCCTCAAAAAATGCTCTTTTGTCTAACTTGAGGAACTCTGCATGGAGCTTATATTGCTTATATTGCAGAACAGGCATTGTGTTAAAAAAAGGGCGTACACAAAGCACCATATCTGCATTGGATGTGGATTTTCAGTGTTTTTTTTTTGTGGTTAAATCCACTGTAGTTTTGCATGGAATACAGATAGCAGTAAAAATGTGACAACTTAAGATTATTGCTTATAAAGAATACTTTTATGCTTGCAGTAAGCATCTGCCTTCAACTTCAAATTAGACTTGAAAATTGCTTGAACTCAACTCACCCTGAGTATATGGCCAATATCTATGTTTAGGAAGAGACTGACAGAAAGATTATGGCTTAGTCATTGTTGTTGTTTTTCAATCGTTTTTAATGTCAGTGAAATGAACATCAAAACTGTTCTTGAGGTCTCTGGTTGAAAATGCTACCTACCTAAAGATATTTTAAACTCTTTTGGCAAAAGCTGAGAACTCCATACAGTAATTACAAATGCTAGAGATTTATGTTCAGTACCTGAGCTGATACAGCTTCACATGTTGGAGTTTGATAGATCAGGCTGGAAAGTGGTGTTTGTAGGCGCTGCTGATCCTCAGCAGATGATGTGAGAAAGGAACAGACCAAGGAACCTGCCCCAAAGAAAGCAAATGCATCAGAGGTTTGTACTTACAAGCAACAGAATCCTCTCAAACATGTACACAGTCATAAACCGACACCGAACACTGCTTGCAAATGACCCAGGGTTAGAAATAATGCTATAGGAAAAAAAAAAAGACAAGGATTACAGTATTTATTATTTAATAGAGGAAGGTGCTTTGTATCCTAAAATACCCAAAGATAATATTTTCAGAATACTAGCAGTCCATTTGCTTATCAAAGGCAAATTTTATCCAATTGTTAGAGGCTGAGCTGCAAGAAAATGGGTCTTACCGTACCCACTCACAATACCCTCAGTTATTTTGAATTTACATCAGCAGAGAACAATTCCTGGTTAAAAAAAATCATCAATTTATGCTCTTGTGACTGCTGTGTAACTATACTCAAGTGGAGTAAGCAGATAAACCAGTTTTGCTATACATAAATCATTTATCTCTGACTGTCAGAAGTAGACAGTTCACCACCCTTAGCTTTCTGCAAGCTACCAATTTTGTATAATTTAGAAAAGTATTTTTCTTCCATGTTATTTATGCTATTTCTCTTTCTTATGGGGCCCACTTTACATCTACAAACGTCTGTCTAGAAAAAGTTTGAATTCTCAATTTAAAATCTATAAAATCCCATAAAACTCACTAAAATTAATAATGCTATTTTTGTCATCCATCTTTAGAAATGAAAAAGAAAGGGGGCAGAGGAATAACTGTTTGTTGTTTTGTTTTCTTCTCAGGTTTAAAAGTGGTATTTTGCCAGCAATATTTGCAGTTCTTGTCATAAAGAGCAGTAACTTGGGAGCTAGTGCTCATGTTAATAAGAAACTTGGGCTCACACCCTTTTCATAAATCTTCCTTTTGTCAGCTGCTGCTTTGTCTGTCCACAGGCAGGCAAGGAACACTTAAATCAATTACTGCAGCAAAAATACCACTACTGTTGTGTACAGAAATAGGCAGTCAAGTCTTAAATTTCCATTCACCTTTAGGAATCAAGAGTAATGCTCCGTGCGCTTCTCATACGTACCTTCTGAATCAACAACGGATATTATTTTATTATTAGTGCAATTAAGGCCCTACTGAGTTTTGAAAAACCTGTGCAACTGTACTCAGAGCAGGTTGATATACGACTGTTACAGAATCATAACATACCCCAAGTTGGAAGGACCTATAAGGATCACTGAGTCCAACTCCTGGCTCCACACAGGACCAACCAAAATCAGCCCACATATCTGATTACACTTTACAGTCTCAGTGCTTTACTATAGGTTGCTCAGTAGGTGAATCATTCTAATAGGACTTCTCAAAATATTATTTAATAATCCTCTGAACGATTAACATTTGAGTTTTCTAGAGTCGTGGGCTACTCAATTACCATCCCCTCAGTTGACCAAATATTTTAGGGTCAGAGGGAACGACATTAACCAGTTCTTCCTTGCGTCCCCACAGCCTTCTCTAACTGCTAGACTGTTGTAATATAACAACCATTTATTAACTGCTTTGCTACGTCTTGGATAATTAGAAAAACAGCATAAAATCAAGCTCTTTTATGTAATAAGTCCATATTCCATAACGACAAACTTCCTGCCTGCGGGTGCTGTGTGATTTTGTAACAACTTTGACCCCAGGAGGCAGAGCTGTTAAGGATTTCTTTTCCCGCAATGCTTATTTATAGCACGTTACGTATATAGCGTGGTTTCTAGTTTTGTGTGCTGTAGGTATTGTGTGAACTTTTTGTTTTACAGTCCTCAGTACCACAGCGAGCCCCACCCCTTTATGCGGCCCCGGCTTCCAGTTCCTCATGCCGGCTTTCTGCGCCAAGGCCACGCGCCCGGACACCGACTTCCACTCTCCCACAGCGCAACCTCGAGTCGAAACCCACCGCGTCTCAGGGTCCTGACATCACTTCCGGTCATTTCCCTTTCCGCTTCCGAGAGGCCACTCCCGGCATGCAGCGCTCCCATGGCGGGAGGGAGGGTGGAGGAAGAAGCGCGCCGGAGCAACCGCGCGCCGGCCCGAGGGCGGGGCTGCTCCTCCGCGACGTCTTCCGGTGTCGAAGAATCGCCCACTGATTGGCAGCACCGCCCCCTCTTCTCTCCCCGCTCCCCTCCGATTGGTCCTTCCGCCGCGGGTCAGCCAATCGGCGGCCCCGATAGCGGGCGGGCCGCGCCCCGGCAGCGGCGCCTCGGGGCGGGGGGCGTGTGCGGAGGAGGCCGCCATGTTGGCGTGAGCGGCGGCGCGGCGCGCGGGTGGCTGCAGGCGGGAGCGGCGCGCGGGGGCCCCCCA